GATCCATTTTCTTCTGGGAATCCAGTTATATTGTTTCGTTTATACTGTCATGTGTTTGGTCGCAGCTTGAAAGAGGAAGTAGTTGGTTGGGAGGGGAATTTTATTTTGCATTACTTTTTTTCTGATTGGTTGTTTTCTCTCTATGTTAATGTGCTGCTGTGCAGTTCTAGTAAAGAGAGACTTAAGCAAATATTTGCCTCCTGTCATAATTAATAAAATTAAGATTATAGGTACACTAAAGCTAGCATAATCTACAATACACAGTCACCGCTTTCTTTAAATTCAATGCTCACTTCTCACACAAACAGCCTTGTCCCAGCTCCACATAACACAATTAACCCAAATGACATTCTTTAACTGCTAGCTGACATCTGGGAATATTCATTTCAGATTATAGTATTCCCTGGGAATCAGAGAAAGATATCAGAATACTAAATATGACTCTACACATTCTTAGAGTTACACCTCGGACACACATTCTTAGCGTTACAAAGTGCAACTCACTGAAATTCTAGACTATAAACACCACAAACACTTCAAATCGGTGATGGTGCTTGGACTAACCCTTTAAGTCGGTGCTTTATATACTTAAATATTTTCACAAAAAAAATAAACAAATAACATGTTATACAGTAGGAAGATATAAATAATTATTAAAGTGAATGTAACACCGGTATTCCCTGAACACCCTGGAAGGCCTTTGTGGGGTTATTTGAACAGTCAAACTGCTATAATGCCCCATAACCGGACATAGGCCCATCAAATCCATCTATGAAAATTCTAACCATAGAAACTGAAATAGCCTGGTCTCTTATGTGGCATTATAGCTTCACAGCAAAGTGTCAAAGGCATACAAAAGGAGAATCTTTGTACTCAGCCGAATCGTGGTACTCACCATATGTTGCTGAACACAATATGTGATTTTGTACAGGAATAGAACATATCAGCTTTATGAAATACTCATTAAAATAACATTGTTATAGGTCTGTATGTTAAAAAACTGAAAAAACCCCACAATTTTATTACAATATTTAGCAGAGATTGGCGGTGAAATAGCTATGTTTAAAAGTGTCAAAATCTCTGAGGTAAATAGCCTGTGATGTCTACTTTATGTAAATCTATAATTTTGCGTGGCAAAAATGAAAATAAACTGAAATCCTAGACATATTATGTACTCAGTAAATCAGAACAAACACATTTCTGAATAACTTTGCACTTATTATGTATTGTATTGTATTCTTGAATAGTTTTTTCAGTTTTTTTTGCATTTTTGGATTTTTTTTTATAATAAATGAGAATTTATATATGTATATATCAGATCTGACTAAAGCTATGTTTGTCCTTTCAAAAAACAGTATATAATATGATTTGGTGCACTAAATAAGAAAAATGCATTTTTTGCGTGCTTAAAGGAACACTATAGTTACCAAAACAACTTTAGTTTAATGAAGCAGTTTTTGTGTATATATCATGCCTCTGAAGCTTCACTGCTCAATTCTCTGCTATTCAGGAGTTAAATCACTTTTGTTTCTGTTTATGCAGCCCTAGCCATACCTCCCCTGGCTGTGACTCACACAGCCTGCAAATCAACAAAAAATGGTTTCACTTTCAATCAGATGTAACTTACCTTAAAAGATTTTATCTCCTATTCTGTAAATTGAGCTTTTATCACACACAGGAGGCTCCTGCAGGGTTTAGCATGCTATTAACAGAGCAGGGGATCAATTCTAAATTAAACAGAATTTGCAATAAAGGAAGTGTAAACATTAGATGTCTCTTTACAGGAAGTATTTTGGAATTCCGTGCAAGTTACATGCAGGGAGGTGTGACTAGGGCTGTATAAACAAAGTCATTTAACTCCTAAATGGCAGCGAATTGAGCAGTGAGACTGCGGGGGCATAATCTATACACCAAAACTACTTCATTAAGGTAAAGTTGTTTTGGTGACTATAGTGTTCTAAATGTGTGTCCTTAAGGGGTTAAACTGCTAATTTCAGAAAGCAACTGCTGATTTAGATCATTTCTCAAACACCTATCTCATCACAGCTCTTTCACCCAGCATTTAGTCATTGTGTTCATTGGTGTGTGGTGTTTAGTCAATAAATCCTCTCACACTGATTGAAATAATAAATTGCAAAATTGCAATTAGGGCATCTTACTTCTATTCACTTCTAAAACTTTAAAAATCCATTGCAATGCACACACTCCTAATGAAATAGAGACATGTTTCCTCTTTTATGTTTCTGTAGAAGATTTCCCCAAAAAACAAACACAAATAAACAAACAGAACGGTATCAAAAACTCAACTAGGACCATATACCGATAGCTGCATTGTTAGAACAGAGTAAATTCATTTTACATAAACTGTAAAAAAACGCTGCTAATAGCCATCGATTAGACAGAACCGACAGATTTAAATACATTATTTTTCAGGAATTTACTAAAATAAATGATTGTAACAGGAGGATGTGACACATTTTGGGACATTTGCATACCCATCGTCTTCATACAGGTATTTGACTATACCCCAGGGAATAACAAAGAGCATCGGTACACCTGGAAAAAACAACAGAAATATAGTGTCAGTCTGACATACTGAATATTATTGGCAAATAATAATAAAATATTCATATTTCTACCACAAAGCACTGTCCTAGCCGGTATTTTTAGGCTAATCGAGAATTAAATTGTTCTGTATTTTTCAATATTGGGTACTTTTTTTTAGCTTCACTGCAGAGATTTATCTAACTTACTACACAGCCAACGTTACCATTAAGCCGATGGATATTATTGAAGCCATCTCCATTGCTTGTAGTCCGTCATTGCTGTGATTCCACCACTTTATCTGGCTTTGGGTGCCGAGAGTAGTAGTTTGAAACAGTTTGAACAGGGCTACGGCACCCAATGACTCATTGCACTATAAGCACTACAATGAGCTATAGTGTTTATGGTCCTTACAGTGCACCTTTAAGATATGTATGGGAAAGTTATGGGATTTCATTTTCTGTATGTCACTGCTGCTAATAGCAATGGACAGGGTCAGAAGACATCCATTTGGATTCAAAGCTCTAATCCGATTGGTTGCTTGGTACTTTCAGCCAATCAAAATACAACGCAAATTCTCAGAAGAGAGAGAATTAATCCTTCATGTTCTCAATTATATAAACCAAATTTAAACTAAAACATTATTGTTTCTTTAAGTCCCTGGGTGGCCATACACCCGGTCATTTCCTCAAATAGGCAGTCTGTTTATTGGGAGGCGATGTACAGCAGCAACGTTTCGGCTCTTACATGAGCCTTTTGTGAAACTTGCCAGTGGATTTGGGGTTTTCCCTCCCTGCCTGCAGCACTCCAGTGGGATTACTCCCTAATTACACAGTTTTAACGATAACACTCCATATCTTTTGTTTGTCAGCTAGATTTTGAAAGTCTGCGATGTTCAATCCCAATAAAACCAGTTGTACTCTCAGAACTGTGTGTCGTCCACTTACTGGGGAGGGATAGAGCTATTCACTTCACAGTGCCTTGTACCAGAGTTCCAAACTTGACACTACGATCGTTACGAGTGGGATAGATTGGAAAGCGAGATGCTGTTTGCGGAGATCCGTTCTGTCAGCTCTCAATACTTTGCTCATTGCCATTGCCAATTCAGTTCTAATGAAATTATGAAGGTGCGTGAAGCGAAATCGTTGTGGAAGTAAATAGTTTAATTCTTATTGCTTCCCTTCCATTCATATCATGCACAGACATTACTCGTGTCAAAACAGTGACGAATGATCGGCTATTATGACAGTCTACATTACTTGCAATTAATTTTCTTAATTTTAAAGACAAACACTTATTAAACATGCAGCTCCCGCGTTTCTATACATGATTATTCATTTTGTGCTTTGGAAATAAAATCCATGCGGCATTATTGGTGAAAGCAAACAAAACATTAAAGAGAGATTTCGGTGTCAATGAGTGCATGGGCACGTTCTTATTCTGTATGTTGAAACAATGAACACATAACTGTGACATTAATGGAAAACGGCACGCATGCTTGTAAATAGCATGTAAATATTTATCCAGTGTGTTTGCGTAATTAAAGTGGAGCTGTTACCTTCTAACATGTTTAATATTATGTTTACGTATCCACAATTCTCACCAAATATATGTTTATGAGGCCAGGAAACTAAAATTAAAATAGAAATCCTCACTGTTTTATTTATCTCTGTCCTAGAACGGAGTCCTGCCATTTTGACTCCTTGCTGATCTTTATTCTAAATTCTGCCATAACAGTTCTGTACACTGTCAGATCTCAGCACCAGGAGGAGACACACTGGGTTTCTTTCTCTCTGCCACGTAGCTGAGCTCTTTGACAGATCACAGAACCTGCTCTCTGTGTGTCTAATCACACTGGTAGGGGTACTGGGGGCTCCGTCGAGTCTCTCGAGAGGCAGCCCTGATACTGGGAGATACAGATGGCACGGGTGAGGTAGAATGTGGAAGTTCAGCCATGTTGTGTCAGTGGATTGTGGCAGAACGCAACTTGAGTACCTGTCACATCTGATTGGTTAGCTTGGGGTCACTAAATTTGTCTCCTGCTGACCGAGGTGAGCGCCCAGTGCCAATTGGTTACTGCACCTCCCAGGAGTGAGCACAGATTTCACCCTGTTTACATTGAATCTAAAAGACACTCGCTGCTATCCTAAGGGGCTTTAAAGCTCCTTAATTCTACGACAGCATCGAATGGCCTAAGGACTTTAAGGAGATAAGAATAAACAACATAATAGAACAATTTTAGATTTTAGACTGTTTAGGCACCATCTGCTGATAAAGAAACAGAATTTAAAGAAAAAGTTTCTTGTCTCTTAATAACGGAATCAGCTAGACGTTCACAAAAAAACAGGTGAAAAACTCAGTTTTTATGTGAATACCCACCGGCATGGATTGGTTCAGCTAATTGGCTGATACGCAAGATAAACCCACTAAGTATCTTAGCAACTGTCAGTCACCGGTGAGCTCAGCAATTGTAAACTTTATCTATAGAATTCTTATTGCCAAATCTCTCTTTTTATTCAGTGATTAGTATTTACAGCAGCGTAGTATATCCAAAACTGCATCCTGTGTGCTGGACTCCCTGGAAACTAATAAACAGAGTCACACAAGCATGATGCACTAACTGAATTTAGCGTAACAAACTAAGTATGCCAGCATCAGCCTAATAAGGTTATTAGCTGGGCATTGTTCATACTATTAAACGTGATGGCAGATAAGAGCCATTCGCCCCATATAGTCTGCCCAATTATCCAAATACTTTAATTAGTCCCTGGCCTTATCTTATAGTTAGGATAGCCTTATGCCTATCCCACGCATGCTTAAACTCCTTTACTGTGTTAACCTCTACCACTTCAGCTGGAAGGCTATTCCATGCATCCACTACCCTCTCAGTAAAGTAATACTTCCTGATATTATTTTTAAACCTTTGTCCCTCTAATTTAAGACTATCTCCTCTTGTTGTGGTAGTTTTTCTTCTTTTAAATATAGTCTCCTCCTTTACTGTGTTGATTCCCTTTATGTATTTAAATGTTTCTATCATATCCCCCCTGTCTCGTCTTTCCTCCAAGCTATACATGTTAAGATCCTTTAACCTTTCCTGGTAAGTTTTATCCCGCAATCCATGAACCAGTTTAGTAGCCCTTCTCTGAACCCTCTCTAAGGTATCAATATCCTTCTGAAGATACGGTCTCCAGTACTGTGTACAATACTCCAAGTGAGGTCTCACCAGTGTTCTGTACAATGGCACGAGCACTTCCCTCTTTCTACTGCTCATACCTCTCCCTACACACGCAAGCATTCTGCTATCATTAAATGTCAGTTGCCACAGCTCTGACCATTTTTCTAGTTTACCTAAATCATTTGCCATTTGGCTTATCCCTCCTGGAAC